GAATGAACCGTAATGTATTCCGGCGCTTCCTTTTCCTCTCAATTATAGACGAGCGTATTTCCTCCCTCTGAAAGTTGGAAGAAAACAACCAGGGAAGGGATGGAGGAATGGGTCGTGTCGTCATGACGGTATGCTCTGGCCTGGTTTGGGCAGTCAGAGGTGCTGGGTTTCTTTTGGAGTTGTTCCCAAGCTGTCTCTGCCTTTGTTCTCCTAAGGCAGTAGCTGGTGCATCGCTGGCCTGTAAGTACCGGGTTTTCTTCATCTCTTTTCCATCTCCAGCTGTTTCATTCCTCCATAGGTGAAGATGGATCAAGCGGTGGTGATTTTGTGCTAATTGGCACTGTGCCATATTAGTTTTTCATTTCAGGAGTGTGACACAAATTAGGCTGCTGGAATTGCTTCCCACCTACCCACCCAAGTATTTTTTTTAACCCTTAAGATAACTGTTCATTTTGAAAGCAAAAAAAAAAAAGTTAAATTAGGTTGCTGGAATTGCTTCCCACCTACCTACCCAAGTATTTTTTTTAACCCTTAAGTTAATTGTTCATTTTGAAAGCAAAAAAAAAAAAAAGTTAAAACAGCTGTTTAATGTCACAGCAATATTGTGGAAGCTGACACTTATCAAGTCTTATTTTTGTCATTACTTTAAAGGTTAACAAGTGGGTTTCAATTAAAAATTCTCATAAAATTACCGAACTACTCTCCCTCCAATCTTTTGTTTCATTGGAATTGACAACCCCAGCTTCAGACCTGGGGTAAGGTTCTCTTACCCCTCCCCTGTTCTAACAGCAGGTATGGAACAAGAAATGCACTAGTTTCAAGAGATTTGCTGCTTTCCTCAAAATATTCCTGGCATATTTCTATTTTGCTTCTTTGTGATATCAGAGGAATACTTCCTGCAACAGGAAGAGAGAGGCGGTCAATTATCTCTACGGGTATTCAAGAATGGACTTTTTCACTTATACTGGTAGAAAGAGAAAAAAAGCTAACCTTTGTGGGTGCTCTCCCAATCATCAACCTTTTTATGACTTAAAAAACAACTTAATTCTCTATATTTGACCATATTTCCCCTCCTTTTTAAAGCACATTTTTGTCTGAATAAGGGTAGGCAAAAATTTCCGAACTACCATGTTATAAAAATTCATATATGACCTTTACTCTGAGAGCAGGACTTACTTTGTACTTTTTGTTTTGATGTTTCATGCACGTGTAAGCAAGAGGGAATGCAGCAACACAGGTAGTAATGGGGATGTTTTAAATGCCCATGTGTCATCAGTGCTGTGTGAGTTGCATTGGTTGCTACATGACTTCAAGGGTTGATTGTCACTTATAAAGTCCTTCACAGAAGAGGACTTCATTATTTGAGAGACCACGTTTCTCCAGTGGTTTCTGCCCATCAAATAACATTGGGAAGAGTAGGGGTGCTCCAGTCCCTTCAGTCAGTCATCTAATGGGACCCTGGAAGCACACTTTCTCTCTTGTAGTACTTGTCATCTGGAACAGCAGAGATTTACATGGCTCTCACCATACAGAGGTTACCTATGTCTTTGAAAATGGGATTTGCTCCCACACCTGGAGTTAGGTTGTTTGTTGAGCTCCAGGTGGTTTTCTTTCGTATTACATTACGTGATTTTATCTAGATGTGCATGTTCTTTTTTTTTTGTCTTTTAATTATGTAGGCCATCTGGAATTACCTGGGAGTCAGGTGACCTCCGAATCAAATAAGATAGTTGTAATAATAGCCCTGTGTGCAAAATTAAATTTTGGGTTGAATCACACTAATCATAACTGATAGACCCACTGAGATTCATTAAGGGGGCTTAAATTTCAATGGGTCTTTTCTAAATATATCTAAGCTTAAATCTGTCCCTGTTCCTCTACATTAACACATCTTCGATATAGAACCAGCTAAAGATGTGGTAGATAATTTTGAGTTATAAAGTTTCAGGATAGATAACATTGTATGAATGTGTTAGAGTTTAATCTAAGGCAAGGAAATTCCAAAATGTTTGTTACGATATTAAATACTGAAAATTACATCAATTTGTGTGATTCTTCTCTAGATATCTTGGTTTTCCTGTTAACTACCTACTACTTTTTATCGCTAATTATTACAGCTAGTGACTCTGCCCAAACTTCAAAGGCATGTTTTTAACTCACTTCAAGTAGGATTTTTTTTCTTCTATCAATCATGTCTAATTCCTGAACAAGTCCTTGCAGTTTTCTTAGCAAGGATGTTCAGAAGTGGTTTGCTATTGCCTCCTTTCTAGGACTGAAAGAAAGTGACTGGCCCAAAGTCACCCAGCTGGCTTCATGCCTAAGGCAGAACTAGAAAACACAGATTCACAGTATCTAAGCCTGATGCCTTAACCACTACACCAAACTGGCTCTCAAAAGTAGGATATCTTTCTCTAACTTGCTCTGTCTTAAAGTCCTTCATGAAAGTTTACCTCCAATATCCTATTTGGGAGCTTGGTGCCCTAAAACAGAATAGTATGGAAGCTTTTCCTGCTTGTTTAAAACAGCAGAACAAGTAAAGGCATTGGAGGAAGACAGGGAAATACTGAATTGAAGAACCAGCACATCCATCCTCAGAGTACAGGTAGTCCTTGATTTAAGACCACAATTCATTATCCACAGTTAATACTATCCTAAATTGCTGAAAAGCTCTCCATTCTGATATTGAATAGATATTGAAATTGAATATTAATATGGATGAGAAAAACCATCAGTTCTCAACTGCTTTCTTGTTATACTGTGAAGTAGATATCTCTGGTTATACGTTTTTCTCCGATCTCAAGAGGTATGTGTGAATTGCTGCTATTTAGAAGAAAGACAAAAGAGCGGTTAAGTAGTAATACAGCGTTAGTTGTACAATGCCATGTATTTGTATGTATTCATATATTCTCATAGAATATTAAAATTCAGTAGAATGTTGCATTCTGAATAGAAACCTTAATGCATTAAAGATGGTAGTCACTAAAGATAAGGTATATTCTGAATTCATGTTTCCATTAGAATCAAATGAAATATATTAATCTTTTATGTGTATCTAAGAGCAACCTTAGCTGCAATTGAGTAATATTGTAGGTCAGGGTCCCTAACCCCCCAAGCTGTGGCTTGGTACCAGGCCGTGGCCTTTTCAGAACCGGGAAGTGCGAGTGATGGGTGAGCATGTGCATAAAGTTTCCCTTGCACAAATGGCAACTGCTGGCGCAACTGGGCGAAACTCCCCTCGTGCAAGGGATAGGCGCTTGCGCTCACACCTGCCTACCTACCACTCATAGGGAACTATCCCCCTGCCAGGCTGCCAAGCCAGAAAAGTTGGGGAGCACTGTTGTAGATGATCTAAACTTAAGCTAAGCTAAGTACAGAAGGACTTAACTTAGTTTTAGTATGTTATAATTAAGAGGGCATTATTTATCACCCCTAGCTAACCAGCTCTCAGACTTTCATGCTTTTTCATTAGCAACAAGTGGCAGTGAGTTCTAATGAGAGAACACTCTGTTTACCATCTACAGGGATCAAGCATCCCAACAGGGTTCACACATTTTATATCGTTTAAGCAAACCCATGCCTAATAGTGATATCTTGTGTTGTAAGCTATTTAGTCTTTTAAAACTAAAAACTAATACAAATATAAAACAAGGAACAAAAGAGGAAAAAATCAAAGTGATAGCAAAAAAGGCAAGAAAAAAAGTTAAAGAAAAATAGTGGCTTCCAATATTTCTCACAACAGATATACC